CTGCCAATTCGTTCTATCACCAAGCCCTGGAGAAAAGACAGCATAATAAACAACAGGGTTTTGTATATCATTTTTGGCTGCAGAGTTAATTTTCTCCAATTTATAGATCTGGGATCCACATGCCAATGGTTGGCAGTTAGATTGACCGTCACCAATGAGCAAGCAGTTTCTAAGTCTGCCCATTTCATCACATGCACATTAATATTTTGAACCAAAATGGTGACTGTAAAAAATTCAGTTTATATAGCGCCAAATCACAACAACAACCCTTTAATAACGCAAAGAAAACCCCAACAATTAGACAACCCTGCATGAGCAAGCACTTTGCAACAGTGGAAAGGAAAAAATGAATTTTAACAGGAAGAAAGCGGAAAAGTTTAATAACTGACAGCTGAAATTACTAACAAGTCACAAAATAATGGATCGCTTTAGCTAAGTCCACCATTATAAAGTTTATGACTATTAGAATTTGTAATTCCTTGTATGATTTGTAAAAAAAAAAAAAAAAAAATTAACTGCACTCCGCCCGTACAACCACTGAAAGCAGCCCATTCACCCACTAATTCACTTTAATGACTGACACTGAATAGCCCAATCACATCTCTTAACATGACCGGCCCCTCCCCTACCTTCACTGCCTAGAAAAGCTTTAGTGTGGAAGAAGTGGTGAGAAGGTGGAGCTGGAAAGGTGAGAGAAAACTATAAAAAGGAAGTAAAAGCAAAATGTGTCAACCGTCATGTTAGCTATCGCAGCAGCTGCACCGTGAACAGTAGTACCAGAAACAACTAATAACCAGGCCTCACAAGTGACAGCTGCTAGCAACAGCTGTGGAGAATAGGCAAAGTGATGAGAAGGGTGAAATTAATGTGGTAAGAATATTAATAGAGGAACATAATTAGGAAGAGAGAGATTCAAGGAGTCAGGTAAAATGACAATGAGTCACTGCTAATAGCTAAAGTGTAGCTTCTCATTGTCACACGCTGCAGTGCAACAAAGAACTAACCCGACAACAACTGTGCCAAGCATGTTTCGATATCAATAATCAAACAAAATGAAATGAAATATGAACATTATATGTGTACGCTATATGTAGAGTGAGCTATATCTTTGCTGAAACCTTTTCATTATTTAGAGACACATTCTTTATGTTGGCAGAGCTCATTACAGCCAGTTTTTGTAACGCACTGTCCTCTGGAATTTTATTTTTACTTGATCAGTGCAGGAGATAGATTAAAAACAAATAGTTAATGCTAATGGTTCTAGTGTGAAGTCTAGTAAAGCCATTAAAGGTCACTGATCATCAGTTTATCAGAGTGAGGGTTATAGTCCTGGCTTAAAAAGTTGGCAGACATATCTGTAGGGGAATTTGCCAGTTGGTCAGCACAACATCTGAGCCCACAAATACGTATGTTTTAAGGTACTGTAGCTTTGCATAGGTTGACTCACCTCAGGTCCAAATCAAATGTGTCCTGAAAGACCAGAAGTCATTACAATCACAGGTCTTCCCAGAGTCTTTAAAGTGATTCTGCATTGTCTGACCTTAAGAACATTTGACTTTCCTGATAAATGAGATCTGATTGGCTCCTACTGGTCTCATGGGTAACCATATCACTGATTTAGATGGCATCATTTTGCAAAGTTGTCCTATCCCTCAAACCCTGAGTCTTAGTCCTTGCTGATATGCTGATTTACTTCACAGTTCACCCTGTGATTTGCTTCAGTGAAGCAAAGGCTTATATCCAAGAATTACCATCACAAATGGGATGGTCTGAGGTGCTGCCTATATATACAGTAACATATACATACAGATTTCATCATCCATAACACTGCATGTGGCTCATCAGTGATTCTGTCACAGTAGGTCTTTGACCAGGTCCCTCTAGATTATGGATGCAGCATGAGCCTGCAGCTGTGGCCTGCACTTGAATAGGGTATTCAAGTGCAGGCCACAGCTGCAGGCCTTCTTCCATCATAGTCTATGTGAATTAGATGGCACTGTTCTTACCTCTTAAAACCAGTGGGAATTCATGACGTTGTGCAAAAAGGTCACTGTTATTTGTACAATATTTGTTCCCATACCAAGGAGCTTCTGAGTTGAGACTGAGAGGCAAAGATAGCGGGTGTTTATGTATGGTGTAGGGGAGGTGCTGAGCTTTTTTAAGAAGAAAACTGATTTTTTTTTATGTTCCAAGAATACATTGGCTTTAATTTTGCTCTTTTAAGCAGTTTCCTATTAGCATATTGCAGAATATATCAGTCTTCATTTGGAAATGACTCCAAAAGCACTGCAGTTCACTTAGGATGTATGTGTACATGTGTGTAAATACAGTGTCCATACCCTACTTGTCCCAACTATTAATCTTCTAGGCACTACACACACTGCAGAGGCACACGGATTTGCAGCAAAACTCCAGTTCATTAAGACTTATGAAGGTGCTGAATATTTATAAGCCTTATTTTATATTTATATGACACAAAGTGACAACACACATTTGTCTACTGTAGCTTTTGTGTGCTGTACAAAGATGGTAAAAAGAAAGTACACCCCCTGATCATTTTAAGAGTTTACATATCAGGACAATTTAAAAATCATCTAGTCCCTTCCAGGTCATAAACTTGGGTAAATACAACCTCAGATCAACAACACAACAGATTTCACAATGTCATTATTTATTTAAGAATATTTAAGCCACAATCTAGAAACAATGTGTGAAAAAATTAAGTGCACCCGATGACTCAGCAGCTTGTAGAACCTCTGGCAGCAATAATTTGAAGTAATTACTGTCTGCATGAATTTATCAGTGTCACATGGTTTTGGGTGAATTCTGGCTGACTCCTCTTTACAGTGTTGCTTAAATTCATTGAGGTTTGTGGGTATTTGTTTATGCATAGCTCTCTTAAGGTCTCCTAAGCTGTTGGACAGATGGCCTCAAATACTTTTGGTAGGCAGAGGAGCTCACGTTCACCTCAACAACTTAACAATGTGCCCAGGTCATGTGGTTGCAAAACACCCTTCCACCATCATGCTTAACTGTTGGTGTCAGGTGTTTGTGCTGATATGCTGCATTTCTTTTTGGCTTCACATGGAGCTCTGCATTAGGGCCAAACAGATGCAAACTTAAGCCATGCTGGTATGTCCTTTTTAGAGAAAAAAATTACATAGCAACTAGATTTCTCATTGCAAACAGTCTTTTTCTAATTGCACTGTCATGAACTTAAACATTCAACATGCTAACTGAGGCCTATAAAGTTAGAGACGTAGTCTCGGTTTCTGTGGCTTCAGGGGGTGAAT